GCAGCTCTCTAGTCATTTGAGAAATGAATCATTGGTTGCAAGATCTCTGTTTCTCCCCCTTTCAAACAGAGCAATAAAAATATAGAATGTCACAAATATAGAATGTCACAGCTGAAGCACTTCAGATTTGGCAGAAAGTGGCCAGAGCCCACAAGGAAGTTGTAAACAGGACAGGAGAGACCCAGGGTGCCCCACTCTTCCTCGGTTTCATCCTCAACAGAATGTGTCTGGAGGGACACACTAGAGGAGAAGCAATTAGTTCCAGGGCAAAAGAGCCTCGGGACAGAAGGCAAGTTGGGCCCGGGCCATGGTGGTTTGTAGCTGACTATCCATTTTGTCACAAATTCACGTCACCGTGCCTGTTTCCAAACATCGTCCACCAACCTCCTAACCCATCCATTTGCGCATCCACCTGTCCATCCATCCACCATAAACCATCACACTCACCCATTCTTCCAGCCACCTGTCCATCCATCCATCCTATATGCATCTATCATTTTTAACTTCTTACCCCATTCTGTCAGTTTATCCATCCACTCATCTACCCAAACATCACCCATTCACCTGCTCATCCATCCATCCATCCACCTATTTTTTCATCCATTCAAGAAACATTTTGTTTGGGGGTCAGTGCTGTGGCACAGTGCGAAAAGCCACAGCCAGTGGTGCCAACATCCCATGTAAGTACTGGTGCCAGTCCAGGATATTCCAATTCAACTTCCTGCTGATGAGCTAAGAAAAGCAGCAGCAGATGGCCCAAGAGCTTGGACTTTTGGAAGAAGCTCCTGGTTCCTGGCTTTGGATTGGTCCAGCTCTGGCTGATGTGGCCATTTAGGGAGTGACCAGTGGAGGAAAGAGCTTTCTCTTTCTCTCTTTGTATTTCAAATAAAATTAATCAATCAATTAATTAATTAATTAAGGCTTCTCTTGGGCCTGGTGCAGTAGCCTAGTGGCTAAAGTCCTTGCCTTGGATGTGCCGGGATCCCATATGGGCACCGGTTCTAATCCCGGAAGCCCTGCTTTCTATCCAGTTCCCTGCTGCTTATGGCCTGGGAAAGCAGTGGAGAAATGACCCAAAGTTTTGGGACCCTGCACCCACATGGGAGACCCAGAAGAAGTTCCTGGTTCCTGGAATGGCTTCAGATCAGCACAGCACCAACCATTGTGGTCACCTGGGGAGTGAATCACCAGATGGAAGATCTTCCTCTCTGTCTCTTCTCTCTGTATATCTGACTTTGCAATAAAAATGAATGAACCTTAATTTTTTTTTTTTAAAAAGGCTTCTTTTGACATACATTTAAAAAAGAAAAGAAAAGGGAAGTGGAGGGGCTGAGCATCTTGGATGGGCTACCACCTGTCCGAAGGTGGCATCAGCGAGAGCCAGGATTTGGGGAACTGGAAGTGAGTCACTGCAGTGAAGTGCCTAAGGGGAAGCAGGCAGGAATCTGGGCTCCATCTGGAGGGCCACGGCGAGGTTTGCTCAGTTGTGCGGTTTGGAAGCATTGCTGAACCCCATGCAGGAGGGGAATGTGGGCCACAGTCCCACAGAAACCGAGAAGAAGTTCTGTGGGTTATGGGAAATAGACACCCAGCTGGCCAACCCAGCAGGTGCCACCAGCTCACCGGGCAAGGGTGATAAGAGTGCACCCAGGGCAGGGACAGCCCCAGAGCTGCTGGCCTGAGATCCAGTGGGCCAATGACCTTCCAGGAGTGATGGGCTGGCTCATGAGCACCCCAAGCCCTTAGGACCGAAGTAGGGGCCACAAAGGGGCTCCAAGCAGAAATGACACTGGGGCCCGCCACAACTCAGCTGGGTTGGCCCAGACCTCAACATGGGCAGAGCTTCAGCAGCTGTCAGAGGGTATAGCTGAGGGGATGAGATGAGAGATGGAGTTGGGGTGGGTGGCACCTCCTGGACTGGTCTACACTACCTCCAACCCTCCCCTCCTGTTGGGAAATCACTGCCAAGTGCAACTCAAGATGTCAAAGAGATTCCTCCCAGTCCCTCCCCTCCGCCACCACCCTGGCAACCCAGACTTTGCCAAGTGCACTTTGCCAAGTGAACATAAAGATTGCCCTGGTCCCTCCCCTCTGCCACCACCCTGATAACCCAGCCCCTGCCCTGGGCTCTAGCCAGTTAGGGGAGAAAACAGGACTGTCATCCCCTCATTTTCAGCACTAGGGCCACCGTTCTAGCCCTTTCTGGCCCCAGCCGTGTGGGGGTGTCAAGGAACTCCTGGTGGTAGCACCCCTTCCTTTCCCCACTCTGGGGTGGGGTGGGAGATGGCAGGTGCACAGGTGGGGCCTGGCTACCTTTGGGGGAAGACGCTAAATCTAGGATACACTGTTCTTTCCTGCGCTGCTGATTCATGTCTGGCTGCTTCCCTGCTCTTGCCCTTCCTCTCTCTGAAGCACCCCTACCCCCACACGAAGCCACCTCCTCCAGGGAGCATTCCTGATTGCGCTGACTGACCTCCAGCTCCTAGTGTCCTCCTAGCACTGGACAGTCCTTTCCTAGGCAGGCTATTTCTGAAGGAAGGTCTCTGAGAATCAGCAGTGGAGCCTGGGGGAGTGAGGAGGGACAGGTCTGAGCAACTCTCCTTGACTGAAGCCCCCGGTCCCTGCCACCTCCCAGATAAGGCCAAGAAACAGGCGGGCCTTACTTGGCAGCCTGTCCATCCTACCTCCCACACTGCATTCACTAGGTAGAAGTCCACTGGGGCCAGGCCAGGCTCCATGCTAGGTGGAGAACAGGGCAGACAGCATCTGAGCCTCAGCCCTGGGTGGCTGTCACCTGCTCCTCTTCCGTACCTTTGTATGCGTACCCACTGGCTGCCTCCCCCTGAGAACCCTCTAAGAACTTTAGATGTGGGACATCTTCTCTCCACAATGGGACCCTGGATCACCCCCACATGTCCCTGTGACTGGCCAGGCCTGTTCCCCACTTTGGGAACACTGAACTCCCCCACAACCCCAGGGCAGGCCTGGAGTGGCCCCTGCCCTCTCTCTGCTGCAGGGGTGACCCCAGAGCACACAGAAATGAACCTCTTCCTAGCCTCAGGGTCCATGGCAGCCTAGAGCTGATCCAGAACCTTCTGCAGCTATTGACTTGGGCAGCTTCCTAGAATGGTCAGGGGAATTTGGGTTCTTCTGGGGAAGCGGTTGAGGCTACAGCCGAGCAAAGAGTCCACAAAACCCACTCAGGGAGTTTCCCGGGCCATGGGGTCCCCAGGGGTGCACCCTGGCTGAAGTTGTCATGTGGGTTGTTATGGTGCCTGGGCACTGTCTGAAGAGCATCAGTGGCTCCTGGCAGATGCAGAGGCCGCAGCAGGTGGATAGAAAGTACTGGAGTAGGGAAGAGGCATGGAGGGCATGGCGGGTTGGGTGCAAGGACACAGCGGGTGCCTGCTCCCACACACTCTTCCTCTGTCTCCAGGCCAGGCTGTGCTCCACCCGGCCTAGTTAGAAGAGACTGGTGGAGGAAGCAGCTGCTATTCCCTACTCCTGCACAGGAAGCTGCTGCCACGGTTGTGTACCTGCAGGTGACAGGGAACATCCCTGCTGCCCTGCACCGGGTTTAAGGAAGGGAGCAGGTCGGGGTCTCTGGCAGCTGGCAGGACCCCAAGAGAAGCAGAGAAACAAGGTGTGAAGCCCACCACAGGGCGTATCCCATGCATCTCATTTTTTATATCTTGGTGGAGCTGCCTGAGATGGGTCAAACATCCCTCTGTAGGAGCTGAAATTGAGACCCAGAGAGGGTCAGTGAGCTGTACAAGATCACACAGCATGACAGCGGCAGCAGGGCATCCTGCCCATGGGGAGGCTCTGTAATGAGCAGGGAACAGAATCCCCCAGCCTCGGGGATCTAATGTGGCCCTGCAGGGTGGGGGTTGGGGTGGGCCTGGCCTGATCTCTCCCCCAGGCTCTGGGCTTGTTCTGAGAAGCCAGAAGTTAATACAGTGAATCAGTCGCTGTCCCTGGGAGAGTTGAGTTTCAGCAAAGACCTTTGGTTGTCAGCATCATCGCTAAGGAAATATGATCAGCCATGAGATCACATGAGAAGGCAGATTGCACCTGAGTCCATGGTAGATGTCATCCTGAGTCATCCTCGGTGCTTGGGCGAGGGGAGCAGGTGGAATCAAGCCTTGAGCTCATGCACCAATTCCAAGGCCAAACTAAATATCTTTTGGCCTTACACCTGTCGGAAAATGCCCACATGAGGTAGGTCTGGAGTTCCTCCTTTGGAGCGCATGCCCCATGCTCCGGCCCTATTGCCTGAGCCACCTGCCATGATGCCCAGGTCAGTCAGGAGACTCCAGGCATGGCCTTGTCCCAGGTGCAAGGCAGTCATGCTGTCATTCCCCTCCCATCTGTTCTGAGAGGCATCCAGTTGGGGGCTCTGGGCTTCCCAAGCAGTGGGAGCCCCAAGTTGGCAGGCCAGTGATAAAGACCTCGCAGGGCTCCAGCCTTCTACAGGCAGGGCCCTCAGCCTGCCAAAGTTACACGCATAGCCAAGGCTGCTCCGGACTCAGCTCAGATGGAGAGGGGCTCCGTGTGCCTTCTGCCCCAGGTACCACTTCAGCCAGGTCCCAGGACGGCCCCTCCAGCAGCCTGAGGCTCACCCGGGATCCAGAGGCTGGGCACAACCTCAGCGTGGCACTGTGCACGAGGGACATCCCCCCTGCAGAGGATGTAGGCTTTTCGATTCTACTAATGAGGAACTAAGAAATGTCTCCTTTGAAATGAGAAGTGGGGTGGCCCCAGACACGTGGACCCCACCTCCATCCCCCTTTAAGCGTCCATTCTCTGGAAAGCCACAAACATTCCAAGACTGGATTTTCACTGACTCATCTCAGATTCTTCGAATTGCCCCTACTCTAGGGCAGGATGTTGGGGGTGGCAGTAGGAGGCGGAGCAGGACACCCCAAGAGGTTAAATAGTCACCTCCCATCAAGGATACACCCTGCCTCGTCTCCCCTGGGAAGAAGGACTCCAGCACCATGGCAACCCCCCTCAGGCTGTTGCTTGTGGCTATGCTCCTTCTGGGGGCAGTCCTGCAGCAGGTGCATGCAGGTGAGAGCAGGGCCTGGGCTGGGGCACAGGCAGTGCAGGAGGTGATGGGCTGGTGACACAGCACCAACACACAGATTTCTGTTTAATTTATACCTCCTCTCCTCCCTGCACACTAAAGGCGAGAAGGGCCGGCGGGGGTAGGGTTTGGAGGGAAAGCAGTGCTACGGCAATGGTGTGTCTATTGAAGTGCTGAGCAGACAACAGCTGCAGCAGTAGCTTTCCAGAGAATCTGTCTTCTTCTGGGGCCTTAGGCACTGAGGAGGGACCAGAATCAAGACAGCAGGTGGTGCTCTGGAGCTGGAAAGTGGAGGATTTCCAAAGGAGCAAGATGGGCAGACCCAGATGTGTGCACAGCTGCAGCGGGGACTTGCACACAGATGTGCACACATATGGAGTCCGGCGGGGAGATGCACAGGCACATGGAGCCCCCCAGAGCATACACGGAGATGTGTGTAACATGCGTGCACACACACACATAATGACTTAGGTGGCCCCCCCAGGCTCCCCACACACATGCACCCACACACCTTTCACATCGGATCATCAGTGCAGATCACAGTGCAGGCACACACAAGCCACGCCCCCTGCCACACACACACCAGACCAACACAGGAACATGCACATACAGATTCACTCACATGCCTACACACACACACACACACACACACACACACACACACGCCCTCATGGTGACTCCCAAGCTTCCCCTCTCTGCAGCGCGAGCCACCAACGTGGGCCGGGAGTGCTGTTTGAAGTATTTCAGGGGCTCCATCCCACTGAGGAAGCTGGTGTCGTGGTATAAGACCTCAACTGAGTGTCCCAAGGAAGCCATCGTGTAAGTTCCTGCTCCACCTCTGCTCCCGGGGACACCCTGCACCATGCACCAGGTCACAGGGTTCCCCCTCCCCCCGGTGTCCTGTGCTCACTGTCCTGGCCTGAGTCTGGCCCAGCTGAGCCACAGTCAGCTCCCAGTGCTGTGTCCAATCTGCCAGGCTCCAGGGTGGCCACGGGCCTGCAACACCAGGTCCCTGGGTGGGCCAGGACTAAGGCGAGCCCTGTGAGGGTGGACACCACCAAAGACAGCCTATTGGGCCACACCTGCCCACAATGGCCTGGGTGACTTCTAGTAAGTTCTTGGTCCCAGGGTCCCCATTGGCACAGGTGGGGCTGGAAGGTTCTGGAAGGTTCTCTGGGCCCTGACAGCTCCTCTGGTGTTTTTCTCCCTCTGGGCAGGTTTGTGACGGCCCAGAACAGGTCAGTCTGCTCAGACCCCAACAACGGGCACGTAAAGAAGGCCGTCCAATATCTGCTCAACCTAGCACGCAACTCCTGAGATTCTCCCTGCACTGCCTGGTCCAACGAGGCACCCTGGCTACAGAGGCCCCACCCTGTCCTTGTTTGGACTGCAGCTGCAGGAGCTACAGGCTGGGTATTAAAGTCTCTGTCCTCCAGCCTGGGTCTGTGTGTTCTGTCCCAGTGGTCCCTGCTATCACACACACAGAGGCCACGGTGAACAGATGTCTTCCCTCCCCAGTCAGGAAGGGCAACTGAGGCTGCTGCAGACCCTGCCAGGAGAGAGGAGGCCTGGGCAGGGGCTGGGGCTGTTGGGTCCTGGGAGGGCAGGGCAAAGATGGAAGAGTTGGGGAGCAGTGGGGACCCTGGGCTGGCTGTCCCCAACATCTTCTGAGTGCCCTGCCCCACGGGGCATTCCAGGAAGGGTGGGCTGGGTTCTCTGCCCCCACTCCACAGCAGCCTCTTTCCTGCCCCATGCAGAGCTGACAGCCTGCTGGTGGACTCAGCTCCACAAACACCGCCAGGACCCTTGTGCTGGCCAGGCTGGCCAGCCCTGCAGTGTGGTGCTATGTGCCTGTGTGTGGTACATCATACATACAGGTGTGTAATGTGCACATGTGTGTGAATGTGATATATGTGTTTGTGGTATATGTATAGGTATATATGTATATACACATGTATGTGCATGTGGTGTATTGACTGAGTCGTGATGTGTACATGTGGTGTGTGGTGTATGTATGTGCTCCGTGCATATAGTGTATATATATAGTGTATATGTGTGTGTGTCTGTATGTGGTATGTGTACATGTGTGCGGTGTGTGCTGTACGGGTGCTGTGTGGATTGTGTGCGCATGCGCTGTGTGTATATAATGTGAGATGTATGTGCGTGGGATGTTCCCCACTCTTCCACCCTCTGTGCTCACCTCACGACCCTAGCCAGCCCTCTGGGTTCACACCAGAGCACAGTTGAGCCCCTCTAGGGACCCTACAGCCTGGCACTCCTAAGGGTGGGGATACGAGGAGGCGACTCGGGTTCCCTCACTCCAGCTGGGAAACTGCAGTGTGTAGCGGGAGAGTGCGGGGTCTTTAACCGCCTGGGCTTGCCTCCCTCCGCAGCCCGGGGTTGTGTGCACGTGGATCACAGCCTGGGGCCTGGGTGTTGGGCGCTTCAGGAATGCAGGGCACCTGCCGCAGGTCGTTCCCCTCAGCCAGGACTCTGGCTCTCGACTGCCCCCTGCCTGCCTGAACAGCCGGATGCTGGCTGCTGAAGACTCCATGGGGGGCTCTGTAGTCCAGAGAAAGCAGGTTTCAGAGCAGGTGTAGGTCTGGGCTTGGCCAGTGAGGTGCTGTTCAAGAGCCACAGAGGGGGCGTGCCGGGGCTGGAGAATCCCCAGAGGGCCACAGTGGGACGGAGCGGAGGGTCGCCTCATGGCCGGGGTGGGGAGCCAGGCAGAGGTGGAGCCCAGTAGGGCCAGGGGCGATTGGAGGAGTTGTGACTTGGACGCCCCTGGGAGCAGTGCGCATGGCAGAGAGTGCGGACGAGCAAAGCACGGGGCCTGGTGGGCCGCACGCAGGGCACCTGAGATCTAGGCACCCCTTGGGAGCTCAGCTCCAACACCACCTATTCCAGGAGATCTCCACCGACCTGATGCCTACCCATGAGCCCTCTGCTCACTCCTTGCTCTCACTCAGCCAACTCTGCCTCCGGCGCTTGCCTGGGGGTGGGGGAGTGTTGATTCGTGCACTGAGCTCCCTGCCCCCAGCTATCTGGATCACAACTCATTACCTGACTCATGTATAACCTGACTCATTTATACAGGGTGGGGGAAGGTGCTTTGCACGCAGTGGAATTTTGACTGATATATTTTCGTCAACAGCTCTGGGGTGAATTTTTTGCAGAGGCACTCTTGGGGAAAGAGAAATTTCCCGGGGAGCCTTCCACCCTGGCCGTGAAGGGCATCACATTTATGAGATGAAAATTTAAATGGAGTTGTTCTCCAATTGTCCACTAGAGGGCATCCCGGACCTACATTAAAGTTGTGGGGTTGTTACGTGAGGCTCTTTACATGGAGGGAGAGGAAGGGGAGGTCCTGGGTGGCAGGGTAGGCAGCGCTGGGCCCAATGTTCTGTGGCTCTTTAGGGTCTGTACTGGCCTATTGGACATGAACTAATCACAAGGGGAAATGAATGGCCAAGGGCAGGTGTTAGGCCATTGGTGTGCCTGGCTTCACCACCTACATTAGGTGACCTGGTCCCTGACATGCATGTGGGAGATGGGTTGAGTTCCCAGCTCCCAGCCTCAACCACTGCGGGGAGTGAACCAGCAGCAGGTGGCCACTTCTCGCTGCCTCTGTATCCATTGTAACACAAGGACTCATCTAGTCTCTGCAGCTGATTGTCAGGGCGTCACAGCTTAGCGTTTCCCACCTTGTTGCTGAGACACTGCGGCTGAACCCCAGGGGCACCACAGAGGAATCCGTGCCAAGAGAGGCAGCTACGCTTCTGAGGTCAGAAGTAAAGCTATGGGATCAAAGACATGGCCACCCGGGCAGGCGGTGGGGTGGGATCTTCCCCGTCTGGGTGAAGGAAATTTTTTTTAGTTTAGTGTTTAGTTTATTTGAAAGAGCAACAACTCATTCAGGGTGGCAGGGACTCCCTCTCAGGGTGCACTAGCAAGGAGCTGGATCAGAAGTGGAGCCAGGACGAGACCCAGGCACTGTACTGTGGGATGTGGAGTCCCAAGTGGCACCAACCCACACCCCCACTCTTGAATTGTCCCCCAGTGATCACAGGCAGGTGACTTTCCTGGTGTCACTGTGTCCTTAAATGTAAACAGAGCTGCATTCAGGGAAACCTGAGATTGTCTTGGGCTCTGCTTTTACTTTGAGCTTGAAAACAGGCTAACACCTCTTTTCCAAAATGGCACCTTCAGAGTCACAAGGTGTGAAGAAGTCCCCGAGAATCTCCTTGCTGGGTCAATTTATGGCCAAGTCAGTCCCAAGGCCCAGGCGTGCTTTTCCCACCTTCCCAGAGCCCTGCCTTCAAGCTGCTGGCTTCCCTGGGAACCCTGGAATGCCACAGCAGCCGGCCATGTGGGGCCCTGAATGCCAGCACTGGCTGGGACCCAAGAACACGAGCAGCCAGGATCATGGTGTTGGCACATCCTGCTCTAGGCAGCCCTCTGTGTCAGGCTCCCCTGTCGTCACTCTGGAGGGACAAACTCTTGTGTCCTTGGCGCCTCATAAACACGAACAAAAAATCATCCCAGGGCTGTCCTGGTTTCCTGTTGCCACATGACAAGCTACCATAGCTACAGCTGCTTAAAATGCCCCCCGAGTGCTCACTTTGGCAGCACACCTACTAAAGCATCCTTGTTTCTGGTGTCAGAGTTCAGGCGGGGCTTACACCCAGACCTCCCGAGGCTCCAGTCCAGGACCCAACACCTTGCAACCATAGGCCTGAGGCCTCCATGCCCCGCTGAGTGCTGGACCTCAGTCTTCTCACCACCAGGCACCTTCTGCTAGGCCAGCTGGGCAGCTTTCTGATCTGTCAGGGTTTTCTGTTTTCAAGGACCTGTTTAGCTCTGGGCCATGCAGGGGGATCTCCCTTCTAGTTAACACACCCCATTAGGACCTCCATCACCTGCGACACCTGCTTACCGTCACCACTGATGGGCTCTTTTGCCATGCACACAGGTTTTGCTCAAGTTCAAGGGTAGAGAACTGGGCTAGGGCCTGGGACCCTGGAAGTCATCTCAGAACTCTGCCAATCATAGGAGAGTCCAAGTCAAACTCAAACTGGGGCCATACTGAGTGGCACCAATGGGCTATAGGAAAAGCAAAGTGTGTTCATGAGAGAACTAGCAAAGTTGCACAGCTCAGACACCAGACACTGCTCCACTGACTGCACATCTCTTCAGGCTGAGGCTGGCATTGTAGTAAAGCTGCAATTTGCAATGTCGGTGTCCCAGGTGGACACAATTTCATGTTCCAGCTGCTCCATGCCAGATCCAGGTCTCTGCTTGTAGCTTGGGCAAAGTGGCAGAAGATGGCCCAAGTACTTGGGTCCCTGCCACTTATATGGGAGAGCCAAGCTCTTGGCTTCGGCCTGACCCAACTCTAGCCATTGCAGCCATCTTGGGAATGGACCAATGGGCAAAAGACCTCTCTGTGTAGCTCTACCTTTCAAATGAACCAACTTTTTTACCAATGCACACAATCACTGCAAGCACTCGGCAGCATGGATTCACAGACTGTGGGCAGGTAGCAGGGGAACAAAGCACTGCCAGGCCCAAGACTCAGAGCTGGTTCCTGGTCCTGCCCTGCTTCTCACTAAACTTCTACCCACAGCTGTGGAGGCCCCGGTCTTTAGATCTCCAAGTGTAGCACTGGGCCCCTGCACGAGACATCACATTCCTCCAGAACTCTGGTCCTTGGGGCCATGCGTGAACCTTCTGTCTCCTCTCTCTCTCACACACACTCACACACACACATACACGCATATCCCTCTCTTTGCAACAGACATGCAGAAGTTTATGGGTTTAATACCGGTAGGGTAACAGAAATGACAACAGGACACACATCCAATGCTACTATCAAATGGTGGGGACATAGGGACACTGGATGTGATGGAATCACAGCAACCAGTGAGTGATAGCTCCTTTGGTACCCCGAGGAGGTCAAGAGAAACCTGGCCTGTGTTGCCAGGACCTGTGTGGTCAGCAGGAGAGGGACCCGTGTAGGCCCACTGCCTTCCCCTAACAATATGTGGGGAAACAGGCCCCTTCCCAGGCATGGTGGGCCCCACGGTCCTCACTGTGTTGATCCATAGCAGCACTGCACACCACAGCACCCACAGCCAGCTGCCCTGGGCTGCCAAGCACCCGTCCAGCAAATGGACTGCAAACGAAGAGAGGCAGATCTGGGGGCTGAGGGAGGAGCACAGTGGTGGCATCTGAGGGAGAAGGCTGGCTGGAGGGGCAAGCGTGTGCCACACCAGGCTACTCCTAGGCGTCGTGAAGGTTGTTGGCACTCAGGAGCA